CTCAGATATTAATAGTTCACAATGACTACACACACTGCACAAAATCGCTGGATTCCTCGCAAATAGCCTCTTAAATTCCCCTTTGTAGCATTCCCCTTTTCATCTACGCTCACATGATGGCCCAAAATGTGTTAAGTTTCGTCTCTCGAATAAAAAGTTTTTTTTTTCTTTTTTAGAAAGAGTGCTCCTCAACCAGTTGGTGGTTTTCTGCATTGACTTCATTATTAACTAAAAAAGAAACAGCTGCAGGAAGATTTTCGAACTAGTTAGGTTAGTTGGCAGCAGGTCACCAGTCTGCGTTCAAGCAGCACTGCAATAAAAACAGTCATGATTCTGTCATGGAAATCACTACGTGGGCTCAGGAACACTTCCAGAAATCACTGTCTGTGTCTGGGAATTAATGCTTGTGTAACTGGGAGCTCGCACACCTTTTTCCAGGTGGAAAAGCAATCATTACTGCTGAAAGGTATATACACTTTTTAGAGCAACATAAAGCTCCCATCCAATGACGTCCTCTTTCAGGGAAAGCTTTGCATATTTCAGACTATGCTAATCTGATTACTGCCTTAGTAGGAGAAGAGTCCAGGTGCTGACCTGGCCTGCCTGTATATCAGACTTTTCACCAATGGAAAGCATTATAAGTATGATGAAATGAAAAGTAAAAACAAAGAAGGAGACCTGGAATTTTTGAGCAGCTAGAGTCGTATATTAGACAAAAAACAGGCGACATTCCTCTCCCAAAAGTCCTACAACTGGTCTCCAAATGTTTCCCAGAGGGATACAACTGTGGTTAAAAGTAGTGGTTAAAGGTTTATAAGATCTCTTCTGTTAAAATAAGATACTACTAAGGGACTACTGATTAAGTAATCTGTGGTTTAGTTTGTACACATTGATTACGTCGTAAACAAACATCTTTAAAGGCTGACCACTTCGGTACTGTTACCAGGGCAACATGTGACCCGTGCTACACAGCAACCTCAACATGTCCTTTAAACCACAAACAACACATTTACGTTACATGTACGTTCACTAATACTTCTAACAGGTTTAACTAGACTACTGCAGAGTGAATTTACTGCGTTAATGTGTATACATTGCAGACATGCGATTATCATACGTCCCAGATTAAAATTCTCGATTAAATCAATAAAGCACAATTTAACTTGGTACTGGTCACGTCGGGATTTTATAAGATTATTTTATAACATGTTTTTCCTCCCCTGTACGTCTATTTCAGTGTCCACACATTATAACTCGTTTACTGTACCATAATCGCATCAGTTGCCCTACCACGAGTGCGCGCAACAGAGGGCTGTGCACTCGCGCGTTCAAGTATTTGTACCCACATGCTCGCTGAGCTCAGTCAGCGTTTGACTCAGTAGTGGCAGAAGGGATCCAGGATTTCCACTTGTTAGTAAACTCCACGATAGCGAAATCAAGTGCATCCCTTCAGCCAACATGTCAAAGTTGGATCAGATCCTTATCCTCGACCCTCCGTCTGACCTCAGATTTAAAGGTATGTGAATGAAATATTATTTATTTACTTGTTGTCGTGTCAAATGTCCAGCGAGTAGTAGTAGTGGTAGTGGTGGTGGTGAAGCAATGATTTCACACTCCCTCAAGCGAATTTCGTTGCTAGCAAGCTAGCTAGCATTCACCGCCATTTTAAGTTAGCCAGGGAGCCGGACGGGCCGCTGCAGCCTGGCGCTATAGTGACGTGGATAGCCGGGCAGGCGTGCACCCAGGTGGCCTGCTATTCAGTACCAGCTTACTGACAGTACCAGGCAAAGAGCTGGAAGGATGTGGTTGTCAGTGACTGCTTAAAAAAAAGGAGAGTTAAAGTCTACACGTTAAGAAGCATGTTTGTGTATGTCTTCACTTTTAATATCAGCTACTATGCTGTTGCTAGTTGTGTTAGCAGGAGTAAACTGTTGTTTCTTGTGGCTTAGGCTATTCCCTGGAAAGAAATTAATTTCAGAATGAAAAATCCGGCGTTCATCTTGATGCACCTGTGGCAGAAACTTGTGAAGCCAGTTAAAGTGACTGACAGTTGGAATGACAAACTTGGTTAGCTAACGTGAACTGTAACAACATAGATAGTTTATTTTTTATTTTTTTAATAGCAACACCGGGCTAACGTTAGTTTAGTTGACCTAAACCTATTAGCTAGATATTGACTAATTTTAAGCGTGTGTTCGTATCCTGGACAAAACAGGACGGCACATTCATGGGAAAGCAGGGTGCTTCGCGCATTCAGCACTGATTGCTTTTCCTGGTAGTGATAACGTCCAGTGATGTGTCAGTTAACCGTTGGCTAATGATAGCTTGGCTAGCCTGCTAATGCCAAAGTTGATGTGTAGCTGTGTAGTTGTATAACCGTGTTGTTTTGCGTCTGACAGACCTGAAGAGACCCATATCACATTTTTTAAAAGTCCTAGATAGAACATAACTTTTGGTCATTTCTGAGTCCAACTGTTGCTCTTGTGGGCAAGTGAATGAAGTGGCAGTAAACGGCGCTGATTTCAATGAAGCTAGCCCTCCCAGGCCATGGGTGACACAACAATCTCCACAGTTGGACAATTTATCCTCATCATTATTCATTTTGACCCAAAATTCCGCACAGCACTTTTCGTATTTGTCCCAGTTACCAAGCTCTGTGCCTGCTGGAGGCATTTTTGCGAACTACACAGTTATTTCTCTTTCTGTTGAATGTACCACTTTCCTGGACGAGGTTATAAGAGGACACTGGTGTTTGGACAAGGTGTGAATTGATGCTGGTTGTAGCCTGACAGGATCGTTAGGAAGGACACAAGCTCACATTCCAGACCCACTGTGTCTTTGGGTGGGGTGTAATAATTAGAATGTTTTGGTGATGAGGTGTCCAGGGTGAAACTAAAAATTTTTTTTTGCCTGTATTTGATGATGACACAGGTGAAATAAAGGCACCCCCCCCTCATGTTAAAACTCTGAAACTCATAAAATTTGTGTACATTGATTAAAATCCGAGATTGTTTTTATCATGCAAGGTGCAACAGAAAGTGCGATGGTGAATGGAGCCTTTTCCAGCAGGCTGACATTGTAATTGGACAGGGGTAAGGATGTAAATCAGTAAAAACTTGCTCTGGCTTAAGTTAAGACATCTGGAAAAGGTTAGTAACCATTTGATTTAACACACATTTGTTATGTCATAATAACAGCATCAAACAACAGGTTAATGGTGCTATTATGATAAAATTCTTCAATCATATGGTTGGAAAGCCACCAATAGTCTTATTTGTCTCGGGCAGGTTGTTTTTTGGGAGCAACGAGGTAAACCAGAATATTAAATGAAATTTTCTCCAGCTGAACTTTAAAATTTCATGGGTATTTAGCCTGATGGTAGACACATGGTTCGTCATAATCTGATCATGGACCTCTACTTTTTACCTGATTAAGAAATTCTACTCTAATTTGACTTATGCTTGTTACTGATAAGTCACACGGTTTACATTTTCCCTCATCAGATTAAACTTTTGGCTTTTTATATTCTGGATTGGATGCAAAGCTAAATTGCATCAGTATGATGCTGTTCATACTGATCATTGTTTACTGATCATCATTGACTCGTTTTGTTCTTTAGCACAGAGGCCAAAATGTTTAATCCACTGCACATGTTAGAATGTGGTTTATGACCCAGAAATTGGGATTTTCTTACAATTTGATATAAAATGTAAATTATAATGAAAATATGTTTATGTCCTTGCAGTAGAACCTGGAAGCATATTGTATGTTGTATATCAGGGTTTTGGTTGTATCAAAATAGTCCTTTTGTAGGGAC